AGAGGCTGCTTCCATGCCTTTCTTCATTTCTGCTATCTTTGAAGCTTCGGATGCGAGTTTCATCTCAGACACTTTCTTCTCCAGATCTTTAATGTCGTCCATGCATTTCTTCATGTCAGCTTCTGCTTGGTTCTTCATACTCGCTTCTTCTGCTTCAGTTGCGGCTTCCAGTTCTTCTCGTTCTTTTCTTATGGCCGCAGCCTGTGCCAGCAGCTTCTCCTTTTCCGACTTCTCCTTCCTCCATCGGCCCTGGATTTTTTTTTTTTGATCGGAAAAATATATATGAATTATATTAAATAATCATGCTGTAAAACAACCATATTCACCCAAAAAAAAGTTTTTTTTTTTTTTGTCACATTTTAAATTTCATTACCTGATCAAGAAGTTATTTTTTAACATAAAAATTTATATATTTATCATTACATAAACACAAATAATAAAATAATAAAAAATAACCTCCAAACAAGCATATTTCATTCCAATCCATATTCATATATCATAATCATATATAACTCTAAAAATTTATGCAGTCATCAATATCCACACCCAAAAAATAAAATAATAAAAAATAACCTTCGAACAAGCACATTTCATTCCAACCCATATTCATATATAACTCATATCATAATCATTTATAACTCACATATTTTACGTCAAAGACTAGTCTACTTTTGATAATATAAGATCTTATATATGTGTGTGTGTATATATATATATATGTATATGATATAATATAAGAATCACTTACCATTGTTCTACAAAGAAGAAAACATACCTCACTTTGGTCAGCCCTATTCTTCGCAGTGTCAAACTGCTTCTGCAGCTGAGCCAAGCTTCGCCTCTGAGACTCAAGCTCCTGATGCAGCATAGTTCTTTCCCCTTCCATAGCCTGGACCTCCTTACCTCTTTTCTGTTCATTCTCTTTTGCTTCCTTCAAAGACACAGCTGATTTGGAAGCATGAGATTTAGCAGCCTCCATGTCCTTCTTTAACACAGCTTGTTCAATCTCAAGCTTGGAGGCAGTAGCCTTGGCTTTCTCAACCTGCTCATTAGCATTCTTTACAGCCAAATCCATCTCATTCAGCCTCTTCATAGTGTTTTCCTCTATGGTTTGCTTATCCTTCTGAGACTTCACTGCATCTACTTTCTCTTGCCTGAGTGATCTGAGTTCAAAGTCTGTCTTTAATCTGTGAGTGGTCTGCATAACCTTGTTATTAGCCCAGTCGGTCCAGCCTTGAAGTTCGCTTTGAAGCTCTTGCTTTCTTGCAACCAACTGAATGATCAACTCTTCTTTCTTGTCACGAGGCAGGTATTTGCCCAGAGAAGGATCATATGGGATTCCAGCTAGGAAATCAGGTGTGATGGAAGATGATGCAGGAGGTTTGGTTATGGAGGTTGGAGTAGGAGGATTATCAGAAATGGTTAAATTAGCAGGAGGTAATTCAGATGGAGGGTCTGGTTTTTTCTCCCCACCGGTGGATTTTTTCCCTTTACCTTTTTTTTTATTAGCCTTCTTTTTGGACTTCTGGGAACTGGAACTACTAGCTGGTTTTTCTTCCTGCACAACAGGCTTAGTCTCCACCCCCGGTTGATCAGCCACCGGCTGCGGTGGTGCAGGAACATTCTGGGTGGTAAAAGATGTCATCATTTCTCCTTCTTCTTGACAAATCTGTGCAACATTCAAATCACAAAGCAACAAAGCCCACATTGCATCTACAACAGATAACCCTTGTTTAACCTCTCTCACAACACCCACCATTTCAACCAGAGTAAAATTCACCAACTGTTGTAAATTATCAAAGATGGAATTTTGATTCCCTTTCTTCAAAATCTCAACAGTGAAATGCACAATGTTTGGGACAGGATCTTTAGCACCACAGTAAAATCCACGGCCTGTAAGGGCCTTTTGAATAAGATCCTCAGGATACCCAAAATCGAGTTTGATGAGTCTGATTGCATGTTGGTAAACTAGGAGGATTTGGGAAATTAGCAGCTCTTCAAGCTGGTATGCGAGAGGATCCTCCCAACCTCCAGGTTCATAGTCTTCTACCTCAGTTACACCAGGTACTGGTTGGGAATGGCTAGACCCAGATGAACCAGTTGATGTAATTGGGATTTCCTGTGAAGATAAATATGATTTGGGAACAATAAAGTATCCATGAATGAATGGTGACGGGAAGCTACAACTTGCAGGGTTTACTCGATCATGAGCAATATCATAAGTATCAGCTAACTTTCTCTTGTTCTTATTACTTACTTTTGCTACAGTAGAAGAAGATGATGATGATGATGACCCAATTTTGCTCCCATTCTGAGTACCCATTTCTTCCATTTTCTTATCATGAAGATATCTCCTGATCTGATCGCGAGTTGCCTCTATACTAGTTCCAGAACCTATATATGAACAAGGAATGGATTAAAATCAAGGACAAAACAACCACACACACACATATAGATAAGCATTCAAACCAAATGAGAGAAGAACAGCGCTTACCAGTAGCAGTTACAGCAAGACGAGCATAGAAGCCAATGTCCTTCAAGAAGAAACACTCAAATGGATTACAAACAAGATTACCCAGAAACCCAAAATCAAAAACCAAACCTAAAGTTTTAATTTTTCCCACGAACCCATCAAGCAATACCGGGTGATAATCAAAACCAGTATCAGAACTCAAGAGAACTCCTCTATTTATAGAGGGCTGAATACAGTGGTCAATTCAAATACAAACTCACAGACATTAAACTCCAGAAAACCAACTCACATGAAAAAAACCCTCCAGAGAATTTGATCGTTACAAATGGGATAGAAAATTTTGACCGGACTCTAACAAAACCACCAAGAAAAACAAGGTTCTTAATGCCTAAAACCGGATTTGGTAGAACCGAGGAAGCTAATTGTATTCAATGCACCAAGGAAGGTAACCATTTTAGAGAGTTACAAATCAGGGATATTTGGCTGCATTATGGGTGTTTTTCATATGAAGGAGTTGGCTGAGTTAATGGTGGGTGTATATGTTTTGAGTGTTTGTAACTGCTGGTTTATATAGGGGGAAAAAAAAAAACTACATAATATATCTTTTCTAAGTAGATTTTATGTGCAACTTTGTGAAATCTTATAAAATATAATCTATGCATATCTTCTTATAAACAATAAGATTATACCTCATTAATATTATGATTGTATATTTTTCTAAATTTTGAGATCTAGAAACTTCATTTTGTAAATTTAACAAAGGGCAAAAAATAATCTACACAATTTTTGATGCAATTTATACTTTATTATATTTTGGTAATAAGATATCAAAATTACAGAAAAAAAAAATCCTTCTTAAATTTGTGTTCTATCAAGTATAATAATTAACTAAAAATTGAATAACATCAATTATAAGCAAAACGAAAATACTAATAATTCTCCTAAAATAATCTTATATTGGCTCAACCATATAAGAATCATCAAATCGGACAAAATTTACCATTCTTTGTTCGTTATTTCGAGGCATTAACCTTGACAATATATTTGAAGCAGTCAACGCATTTTTCTTATGACGCCTTTTATACCTGTATCTCTGTAAAAAAAAAAAAATTATATAAAAAAGATAAATTTTTTTCAACTCAAAATTATATCATTTAATTAATGAATATATACATTTTCAACTCAAAAAAAAATATTTACTATAATTTCAGTGGATTAAGATGTAAAGTTTCTTTAGAATAAAAGGACTAAATTATAAATATTTTTTTTATCAATGAACTCAGTTGTAATTAAGCTCAAAATATAGGGATTATCTTCTAATTAAATCCTCCATAGTTTTTTTTTGCAGTTAAGTCCATGTAAAAACAAAATATATGATACAACAGTAAAAAAAAATTAATAGTTTTATATGAAATTTATCAAAAAAAAAAAAACTATAGGAGCTTAAATATAAAAAAAATAAAATTTTGAATTAATGCAAAAAACTAAAAGGGGCATTGAAATTTATCATAAAATTTTTCATATCCAATCAATCATATATAGTTGTAAATCAAAACAATTAAATTTAAAAATTATACACTGATGTAGCGATAATAAATAATAACTGGAATACTCAACACTGAAACATTAACAAAAATCATTTTTCACAAAAAGAAAAATACTCATCGGATATCATATTGTAGAATAAACTAACAAATATCGATAATAAATAATAACTTAAGTGCTCAATACTGAAGAATTAACAAATCATCTTCAAAAAAAAAAAAAACACTGATCAGACATCACCTTCTAGTATATCGACAATAAATAACAACTGGGATGCTCAATATTGAAACATCAACAAAAATTATTTTTTTTAAAAAAAAACACTTATCGAGCATCACGTTATAGAATAAACTAACAGATATCGAAAGTTAAAAAATGATTGTCAAGCATCACATTACAGAAAAAGTTAACTGATATTAGAAATTGGTATAGAATAGACATTCTTTATATATAAAAAAATTAGGGATTTTTATCAAACATAAAAATGCGATTAATAATATTCACTTACAATCGTAGCCATTGAGTTCAGAACTCAATCTCAGACTCGCGATTTTGAAATTTACTTCGAGAGTATCGAAACCCTAATGCAGCCAGAGAGTCGAAATGATGTTTTGAAAATTTTGTGAAAGTTGGTAGCGGTATTTATAGAAAAATATAAAGCGTTGCGAACGAAAAAAACGTGACAGGGGGCGCCGACCTATTTTTGATATTTCACATTGATAAAAAAAATTAATTAATTAAATAATTTAAAATAATTTTATTGATGCGTTTGGCACATTAAAATATGTAAAAAAATTAAAATATTAAAAATATTTTCATATTATTTATAATTTTTTATTACAATAAATATTTTTGAATATCATAATAAACAATAAAAGAAATACATCTAAAAAAATTGAAGAAATATTTTTTTTTTTCACTTTTATGTTCATTTCCACAAGATTAATCACATTTTGATACAAAAAAAAATCCTAATTATCAATTTTCACTTTTATTTTTACTCAAAATAAAAGAGGAATGGAATTATTAAAAATTAATTTAAATTTCAGGGGCTTAAATGTAAATAACAAAAGTTTTTGGACCCGTTTGAAACTAAACCAAAAACTGCTGCTCGTATTCCATAATCCTGTGGGCTCTACTGGACCCCACTGGACCCCACTGGACCCCACTTTCTAACGTACAACTGACCGTTCACAACAATCTCCTTAACGCGTGTGTTCCACGCCGGGGTCATTAAATGGTCCGTGCGTTATACTTTTGACTCTTCATTTGACTGAGGCCAGCTCATTCACTCACGCCATACTCGAGTCTGAGTCATATCTATCTCACCAGCAAAGGACACGTGTCGTAAGTTGAGAGCGAGTCTGAGTCATATCCATCTCACCAACGAAGGACACGTGTCGTAAGTTGAGAGCGAGTCTGAGTCATATCCATCTCACCAACAAAGGACACGTGTCGTAAGATCCGCGCTTGTCACCTTCCGGGAATCCTGCCTCGGTGGTGATATCAGCTCCAGAGGCGTTATGTCTTATTTGAATTTTTGCCAAACAGAGCTGTTTGTCCAAATCCTGTAAAGCGGAAAAAAGTTAAAAAATAAAAAAAAACTGGAAGGGGGAGGATGAAGAGACCGGAAGAAGAGAAAGTCATGGTGGAAGGCAAAGAAACACCTAAAAAGACGTCGAAGGTATCGAAATTAACCATGATTTCTTCTAATTATTATTATTATTGCTTAAAAGAATGATTATTGAATCCTCGATTCTGTACTTAGTTATGCTTGTTTGCCGATTTTAATGTTAATACTCTATGATTATCGTTTTCTAGATGTCGAGTAATTTTTATTTTTTTTTGCTTGGCTGAAAACAATGTTTGGTAGGTGTGAAACGGCTGGAAATAAGACAAATCTATTTCTAGGGGTTTTGTTTTCTTTCGTCGGCTCGATAAACAATAGAAACGCTCGCTTATGTCACTGTGATTCAAACTAGTAGCGTGCTTCAGTTGAGACTTGAGTGTAGTTTTCTGGAAATTTGAGAAACGTTTTGGATTTCTGCTTTCTTGGCAAACAAACGGAGTTAGAGTTAGAGAAAGTTTTACGTATTGCTTAAATGGTTAAGTGATAGGTTGTGACTGGTAAATCTGGGTTAGTTTGTGATAATGGATCTTGGTTTGAGCCACTCGAAAATGCGTTTTGAGGTTGTCAAGGAGTATGAGTGTTTTTTTTTTTTTTTTTTTATGTAGATTTTCTCTTTGTTA